ATTGCTTGTAAAAAGTAAAGAACGGAATGGACTAACTGAAACATGATAATCCTCCAATCCGTTTACCGTAATGCTTCTTGGGGTCGGACACGAATATCGTAGCTTTGTGAAGGTCGTCAGGGTGAAGACCCTCGCGTCCCATATCCCAGTCATCGTATTTCGGCGCCTCTTGTACGCGACGGACCTGGCGGATATTTAATATAATCCCTAAGCTTTGAAATAAAATTTCCAAACGTTTCTGTAAACTTAAATTGCTGCTAAGCCAACTTACTACCTACTTAAATCAGCTTTTTTTCTTATATTTTTGCTTTGAGATGTTTTGCAACTTAAATAAGTGTTCATTAAGTATCTTTGTCGACCAGATTTTTGCTGATAAGCGTACTCTAAACTTCGATTAATATTTTTGCGTACAATTTACGATAAATTGTCGCCGCTAAACAACATTTTCCAATAACGTTTTAAATTACCCCCAAAAGCCCACCAAATGTGTCTTGGTGACAATCTCGCGCCGCTCGAGGCCCTGGTGGTCCTCGCGATGCGCTTGTTCGTCGTTTTCGTCTAAAAACGTAAAATTTGCCTATTTTGGAGGATGATGTATCGAAAGTTCCTGGTTTTTTTCGAATTTCCGTTTACTAAAAATTTTATTTAGCTGCAACTTGAGGGAAATCTCATCGATATCGGAGGCGAAGGCGCTAGTCAACCAGCTCCGGAATTGCCTGCTGAGGGTGGGTTTTTAAATGTCTGTAAAAATTTATAAGCCAGTTTTAAAGGGTTTCTAAGCCAAAAAAAGGTATACATGAAGTGTTCTGGTAACGAAAAGGCCTCAAAAATCCGCAATAAATCTACTAAAAGCCCCGTTAAAAAAAATTAAAAACCTCGTAATTAAGGGAAAATTTGATAGGACGTTTAAAACTATAGAAGTTTGGGCCATAGGTTTACTGAATTAAAGTCGAAAATAAGTATGAAAAGTACTAAGATACCCTACCAAGATTTGTTTGTTGGTGATGGCGGGGCGGTAGGGGAAGGGCTTCTCGCTGGGGCTCCACATGGTGCTCCATATTTTCGCTGCCGGCGTCGACTCGTTTGAGCCGAACGACGATCGTGTGCTTGCCCGTCTCGCCTGATTGATATTAATTAGGACATAATTGCATGCGAATAACTAAAAAGTTTTTGTAAAAACTATATAAAATTGCAAAAACCAAGATTCTAAATTCCCTTTTGGAAGATTCTTAAAGAGGACAAAATAAAAAATCCCCCTAAAAAAGTACTGAACGCCAATCCAGAAAAACTCAAGGCCTTTTCCCCTAAAAAACAACCTTCCCAGGGCAATACTGTAGGCCCCTGCCGAGCCGATGAGCCGAAAACAAGCCTCCTACTCCTCCTGTCCGCCTCTTGCACACTTTTTTATTTCCTTACTTTGGTTTTCCTTTCTCTCTATCTCGGGCTCTCTCTCCTTCTCTCCCTCTCTCTCTTTATATCGCTCTCTCTCTCTCTCTCTCTCTCTCTCTCTCTCTCCGGACCCGGAAAGACAGACAGCATGTCAAAAAGACCGCAAGCGGGCGAACACCCCCATCTGTAGGCCTCGGAAAACAAAAAGTGCATAACTGGGTCCAAAAAAATAGATAGCAAGGTAGAGAGAGGAAGAGAGAGAGTAGAGAGGGAGAGATAGAGAGGCAGAAAGGGAGAGAGAGAGAGAAAGACAGAGAAAAAGTGAGAAATCGAAAGTTAAAACACACGGATATTGACAGCCTGTCTTTCGCATGTTGATAGGTGACTTGCGGAATTTGAATCGAAAGGTGGATCAACTTAGGCAAAAATGTGTTAAAACGGTCTTTCTTTCGACCTTAAAAATACTGAATGTACAAAACACGATTGTTTTGTAAAATATTTGGACAGAAAATGTTGTTCGTACTCGTATCGTTTGGTACTCGGCGCATCAAAACATATCCCTTTGCAACAACCTTCAAAAATGTCATTTTCCGCGCGCTGACTGAAGGTACGACAAGTTCCTGACATCGAGATTCTAGCTTTTTTAATGGAAGAGCACAAAATTTTCTCGCAGGTTAAGGTAGCCATTTTGATCGAAATCGAAAATCACGCTGATTTTGCGCAAAACGTTGGTTTCCCGGCCTCTTTAAAATAGTCTGAAACTAAGGTACGATAGCGTTTCCAGCTAAGTCAATATCACTGACAAACTTCGCTTAGCCTTTGACCGAACCACCCTCCGGTAAACATGCGGTCTGAGGCGTTCTTCCTAGCCTTGCGGGTGTCAATCCCCAAAAACAATGAGACACAACCCAAAACACACACGAATCGATTCTATCGCTAGGTGCAGAGGCTGAATGCAAAATGATGGTAGTCTCATTTTGGCGACCCCTAAATAGGTATCAATGTGTTCGCCGTGTAGCATTGTGGACTGGTTTTCGGGGTGGAAAAAAATGCACATTGCCGAACAGTATCCGTAAATATTATGATTGGGATGATGGAGAGAGAGTATAAGAGATAGAGAGAAAGATAGAGAAGAAAGAGAAAGAGAGAGAGAGAGAGAGAAGAGCGGGGGCTAGAGAGAGCCACATTAAAAATTGGGCCCCTAAAAACCCTAAAAAATGGTAAAAATTGGTGGAAAACTGGTGCAAAAATCAATAAATTTTTAGCCCAAACTCCCAGCCAACCACAACCTGCTGAAGTGGAATGGGCCGATGTCACCGTACCAAAGGTATAGTTTAGCGGAGTTTTTTTACTCGGAAATTCTCTAGGTGAAGCTGGCCGCAATCGACAACGGTTTGGCTTTCCCATTCAAGCATCCGGACGAGTGGAGGGCTTGTAAGTTGCGAGAGAAAGAACAGAGAAAAAGAGAGAGTGAGAGAAAAACAGCGAGAGAGACAGAGAGAGAGAGGGCGAGAGAGAGAGTGAGGCTTTTAAGTATTTTTGCATTTTCAGACCCATTCGGCTGGGCCTTCCTCCCACAGGCCCGACTTCCGTTTTCTGATGAGATTATTGACCTCATTCTCCCCAAACTTGACGAGATCGACTTTGTCCGAGCGCTTGGAGAAGAATTGAGGCAACAATTTAAGGTAGATGCCTTGATAGAGATAGTAAATAAGATAGTGAGACGGAGACAGAGAGAGAGGGAGAGAGAGAGAGAGAGAGAGAGAGAGAGAGAGAGGGAGGAGGGGGGGGGGTTTGTGGTGGGTGGAGCTCATCTTTTTAGCTGATCAAGTCCCCATTTTCAGAAAGACAAAGGCTTTGACAAGAAAATGTTCGAGCGCCAGCTGAGCGTGATGCGGGGCCAGATCTTCAACCTGCGCGAGGCGCTGCGGACCGGAAAAACGCCGTATCAGCTGGTGATGGTAAGTTATGGGGGTAGTTCAGGGGGTTGGGAGGGTAAGGCTGCGGGTTTTACTGCTAAAAACTTGTTTTTGGAAGGCTTTGAAGTGCCGATAAGGTTGGCTAGGATTTTTTAGGGCATTTTCGTTGCTTTGAGACTATACCTGAGTTGACTCTGAAATTGAAAAGAAATAACTTTTTGAAAATCCACTCTTTGCGGTGACAGATCTCATAAAATCCCGACCCGAGAAAACTTTTGGACTCAAAAATATAGCAAGAACTTTTCCAACGAACTCGCTAAATTCCACCTCACTCCAGATGACTGCTCAGTACATGGTGGAGGTAAAGCAGAAGAAGAAGAAGCAAAAGAAGAGGAAGGACTCGAGGATGCCGAGGCCGACTGTGCATTCTGATGCTGATGAGGGTACGTTGAGCCATCTAGTTTTCAAAGGTTTCGAAAAATACCATGAATTTCTCAATTCTATATTTTTTCAGCCGACACAGCCATCTTCCCGTCGGGACCCGGACCGTCGAGGGGTACTTCTGTCGTCACATCAGTTCTGGATGCTCCAACAGCTTCTGAAGTCGAGTCCCCGGAAAATCCGAATCGCGTCAAGGGATGGCACGATACTTACAAGCAGAAGGTTCAGACGCGGAATCCCTTCTTCCGCTGGTGGTAGAAGAGCTTCGTTTTGCCTTTTTGTAACGTTGTAATTTGTACTGTATCGTAATGAAGCTCTGGCTTTTCACTTTATAGGGTTTTTAACTAGTTTAAATAACGCAAATGACGTACAATTTTCTTTTCAGCCATTTGAGACGATTTTCCAGGATTTTTCCGTATTTTTACCTCGTTACGATCGTCTTGTTCGGCATTTTAAGGTATTTTTGTTCATTAATTATAAATTTTGTATTCCCTGCGTATTTTACACTTTTTCGTACAGGTTTTATTGCTAAAAACTCGGTTCGCTAGCCCCGCTTCCTTCCTCGTACTTACCCACTTTCCGTCACTTTCCGCAATTCCGCAGGCGTATCAAAAATATTGTGATTTTCCCTATTGATTGATAATATATTTTTGAAAATTTGGACCAGATTTCGTATACTGCAATCGACCCTAAATTGTAATTGCAATTTCGGAATTTCTATTCCCACATTAATGCATCGAATTTCACCCTTTTGTCGCTCTGATGAGATCGTTGTGAGTAGTGCTGCGTCCATAGTTGGCCACATATCGCTTGGGATTAATTAATTTTTACATTTTTTGGAACTTTGAATAGCTACTTGCATTTTTAATTGTTGTATCGATCGGCTTTCCGCTATGTAATGCCTGTATATTTTTGTGGATAAATGAATATTGTAAATACAGATTTTTCTGCACTGTCAAAGAAAAAAATAGAAAATTAACGAAAAAGAGAGCGAGAGGGAGCGGGAGAGAGAGAGGGAGGGAGAAAGAGTAAGTGAGAAAGAGAGAGTGAGCTAGAAAGAGAGTGAGCGAGAGAGAAAAGAGAGAGCGTGCATTTCGGCTTTCATGAGCTTGACCCTTGCTTTTGATCTTTAGCATACGAAATTTATTCAGAAGCTATAAATCTGCATTGCCAAAGCTGCGATTAGCATGCGTTTTCCGCTTCATAAACAGACGGCTATCCCTTAATTTATTTTCTGTTCCACGTTTTGCGATGCTGAAGCTCGGTCTCATCTTCGTGCTGCTCGTCTCGTGGGTCCCGCATTCCCTACGGATTCTATTTGCTGGTCATCTTGACAAAATTATTTTTACCGATTTATGCATACCAATTCGGGAAGTCCTTGCTGTTTCAGGGCCCAAGCTGCTGAAGAGGAATGCGTCGAACGGCCGTTCGCTTGCTACACGTACGAGTGGCTGACCGCCAAGGGATTGCCGCACGATCGGCCGGCTGCTTTCGAAAAGAAGGTGCGATATCAGCAGGGCTGTTTGAGCTCACGAAACATCTGTCGGAAAATGTTTGAAAAATCCTGATCCGAAATCAGTTCTCCGCAAAAGTGAAAGTCGGAAAAAATTTGTTTTAAAAAATCCCGAGTTTTCTCGGATATGTAATTTTCTGTGTTTCTTACCTTTTGGTGGTTATTTTCCAAATTTCAGTGCACACCATGCCCGCTCGCTCCATGCACCAACCCTGAAACTTTTGCGGCGAAAGGAGTCTTCTGGCCCAAGGTCATTTGCAACCCCACCGGGTTCTTTTGTGTAAGATTTTTTGGTTGAGCCCTCAATCCTCGTTAGGTGGAGTTTCCCACCGAGGGCAACGTCGCACTGCCAAACTGTACCAAGCCGATCGCCCTTGAAGGTAAGGTGAACGGCGGAACTGGAGGAGAGCGATAACAAGTCTCTGAGTCAGGAGTCAGGAGAGCGATCTTTCGATGTAACAAGCATATGATAACTCAAAAATTTTGAAGATTTGGGCAAAAACGTATAAAAAATTATTAGAGGTGGCTCCAACACTGATAAAACTGTTGCCATTTTTATACCTCATGACCTTTCTAGCCACCAAAACTGCGAAACCGCTATAAAAGTAAACTATTTATTAGCGGGTAGGCGGGGAAAAAAATAGTTTTCCCTCCCGCCAATAGCCCATTACCGAGCATTTGCTTTAGGGAAAAAGAAGTATGCGCTCCTGCCGTTCAACTTCTGCCACAGGGAGATGCTGGCCAAGGGAACGTGCCCTGTTGAGCTTCTGTAAGCCGAATTTTCCTTTGTTTTACTTCCTATTTTCAGGAGCCGCGAGCCGTATCGGCAGGATGCCGTAAAAATTGCTCCTGGTTTCTTTGTCCAATGTGACGCGGGATTTATGGTGCCCAGGTACTGCGTCATCAAGTCCGAAGCTTCACACCCAATTAGTTTTTCTGCTACTCATGTTTCTTTTCGTTGTGCCTCAGCGACGGTATAACAACTGAGTCTTGCAGTACCGTACGCCAAGCCCACGAGACTTCCGCCGATCCGAAGCCAGCGTTGACCTGCGTGCCCAGCCTTCAACAAGCCGCCGGTCTAATTTCTGCAGATGCTTCCCCATTTCCAAAGGAGTGGCATGACATCAGCGACACTACCAAAATTACGGTACTATCATATTTAAAAAAAAAAGGGGTAAAGTTAAATTGTAAAAAAAAAAAAAAAAAATAATAAAAAAAAAAAAAAAAAAAAAAATTTTGATTTTTTTTTTTTGTAAAAAAAAAAAAAAAAAATGTGGGGGGGGGAGGGAAAAAAAAGGGGGGGGGGGGGGGTTAATTTTCTTCATTAAAAAAAAAAAAAAAAAAAAAAAAAAAAAAAAGGGGGGGGAAAGGGGGGGGAGGGGGGAGATTGGATTCTCCGATTCTCCCTTGTATACATTTTTAGTATTGCCCGGCCGGCTCTTCGGCTGCCGACTGTGTCCCGCCTCCGATTTGCGGGTAATTAACATGACAGCAATAGTAAAAATCCAGCTTTTTTTCAGCGAGGGCAGCGTCCCAGCCGAGCTGAAGAAGATCAGCAATGCCGTGCCGGTGAAGTGCGTAAACGCCTGTGTCTACAAGGAGAAGGGAACGGCGGCCGACTACGCGGAATGCCAACTGCTTGACGTTGTCGATCGCCAGAATGAGACGGACATCAAGGTGTACGTGCTCGATCGGCAAATGGTCGGGTTTTACAAAGTTCTGAGGGTGTTTTTCGAAGAGCCAGACACCAATTTTTCGATGCGCACTTCCGATTTGAATTTTGTAGTCTGGCCCCTATGCCGTGCTGATGTCGGCCGCCGGAAGCTTGAAGTATTCTGAGGAATCGAACGCCACAACTGGAACTAACACAACTGCCGCAACTACCGCAGCTGCCAGCAGCGTGTCTGGCCCAGCTGTCAACGTGTCTACCAATGAGGTACGATATTCTGTCCTTAAGTGGCAGCCATTTCCATAATGCCTGCCACGTTGAGGTGCGATTCTAGGGTTTTACAGGCGCAACCTCTGTTGCAAAAATCGAGATTTCACTTCCAGCCCCAACCCCGTGCCCGCCGCGAGGACGCGCCCACCGCCGGCCCTAGCGACTACAAATACCCAAGATGCGTCGAAGCCAAGGATCTTAAGGTATCGAAGGCGTCAAATAAAGTGCATGCATTTTCTAGGAAAAGCACGCCGCCTACGTGAAGGCCGACTATTTCCTGAATTGCGACACCAATCCGCTGGTCGCCCGCTACCCCAACGACACCAACCTTCGTGCAACGCCACGGCCATGCGATGATGTTGATCCGGAAAAGGTACCGAATTCGGGGTGGACGGAGTGCGGCGCCTTCGACAAGTACGGCCCTCGTCGTGCACTTGTCGAAAACGTCGCTCTATTTCTGATTTTTTATCTCCGCATTTTGATTCTAATTTGTTGCTTTCAGGAACTGTGCGCCGTCTCGTCACAATCTTCCTCCCAATCGTCACAAGCCGAACTACCCTCCACGGAAACGGACGCTGGCTCAAAAGTCTGGCAGCTTTTGCTAATTATTGGTCAGCAATTTACACCGCGTGTCCCGCATTTTAACGTCAACAAGCAGATCGGAATTTCGATTTTCAGGTGGCGTGCTGCTGTTGGTGATTGTGATCGGCGTCATCGTCTGGCTGTTGTACCGCAAGCATCACCGTGCCGCCAGCAAGCCGTACCGGCCGCCGCGAGCAAGCGACAGCGAGGAGGGCGACGCGTAGAAGGTATGGCATCTGGTCATATAGACTGGGTTCAGAAACCGAATTTTTTTGGGGTAGCTAGCGAGGCATCGAGGTGGTGTCGGGGTGGCATAGCTTATTCGGTAGAATTCAAAATTCTAAGCAGATAGCAGCCCTCAAAAACTGCTAAACGACTACTACGATCTTGGAAAAACGGCCTAATCAAAATCAAAGCCAAGCAAGCCAAGTTTTAAGCTTTTCCTTAGGTCCCACATCACTCGCCGGCAGATGCACAACGTCTTCTACCCGCATCACCTACTCATCGTCTTCATCGCCCTTTTCGAGACGATAGCCTCCACACCAGATCGACAAATTGACCTTGTATTGACCACTGATTGTGTATTTGTCGGGTAATAAAGGCTTTTCGCGACATGGTCTTGAGAAATGTACGCGTCTGTACGGGGAAAGCCGTAGGAGAGAGGGAGAGAAAGAGAGGGAGAGAGCGAGAGAGAGATACGAAGTTATCCAAACCCTATTCCTTGCATCCTCTGAACATGGGCTTTAGTACAATTTTAATGTTCTCCTTTTACCATTAGCATACGAGCTTATTTAGAATACCAAAATCTGCGTTACCAGACCCGAATTAACATGCGTTTTCCGCTCCTTATAAGCCGGCCAGTTCCTCCGCAATCATCTTTCCACCTTTTGCGATGCTGAAGCTCGGCCTCGTCTTCTTGCTGCTCGTCGGCGCCTACCCGTCCGATGCCTCGTGGGTTTATGCGGTTTTCTTATAGAGTCAACACTTTTCTTATTACTCTTACTTCTTTGAAGAATGATTTTGATTTAGGGTCCTGAAGTACGGAAAACGCCAGCTGCGCGAAGCCGAGCCGCCCGAGTGTATCTCTCGCCCGTTCTTCTGCTACGCCTACGAGTGGCTGGCCGAGAAGCAACTGCCGCACGACGCCCCGGCTAGTTTGTCCAAGGTTGCTTGTTTCTGGACTGTTAGGGGTTTCTGGATTAAATTTCGGCTTGAGTGCAGTTTTACCCCCCCTCCCCCCAGCCGACCTCCACCTACCGTATCTCGGCTCCCTGTTCATCTACAGGTGTGTAAAGTATACCAAAATGTTCGTCTTGCTGTGGCGAGTAGTTTGGTATTCTTTACACACCTGTAGATGAACAGCGAGCCGAGATACAAAACTTGGGTGCCGGTTGGGGCTGGGGGGGGGGTAAACGGCACTCTAACCTAAATTTCATAAAATTTTCCAGTGCTTTGGTCAAAAATCAACTATAATAATTTTGCTGTGGTCTCTGTCCGTCTGTGTGTGCAGCAGAATTCAACTCGAAGGGGAAAGGAGCTAGAGCTTAGCTCTCTTCGGATTCGGATAGAGCGTGGCCAGAAATCCCCAAACCAATAAAAAAGTTACAAAAAGTTTTTGTTTAAATTATTAACTTTAACTTTGAAAGTGACGCTTTAGCAAAACGACTGGGGGCCCCTCGCCCGGCAGGCCGCGCTCCCTTTCCCCCGCCCCTCCCCACGCCCAGATCGCTTTTTTAGGTTCCTTTAATACTTTTTAATGCTTTTTATTTATCTTAATTATTTATTTAAATGATTTAAAGTATCTTTGATCAAGTTTTTGAAGGGTATTTCGGCTAGGGTAGGTATCTAAAGCCATCAGGAAGGTATTTAAGTAGTTTTTTTAAAGAGATTTCGACTATGGGGGGTATCTGAAGCGGTTAGCGTGAGTATTGATGGAGGTAGGGAAGGAGTAGGACATGTAGGGCACCCTCGAAGGCCAGAGGGTTGCAGTGGCAAAGCGACTTTCACTATTTTCATTTTAAGTGCAAACCATGTCCGGATGCCGTGCAGTTTCCGTGCCCCTCCTTCGTCCTTCCCGAAGCACGTAGCGTTCGGCCGAGCATCATTTGTTATCCGGGAAATTTCTTTTGTGTAGGCCCTGTTTTTCCAATAAGCGAAAATTTCTTTAGAAGGATTTTCCCACGGAGGGAGACACCGTTCAACCGAATTGCTCCAAGCCTGTTGCCTTCGAAGGGACTGGCGGAGGTTATCACATTTATAAATTTCGACACTCTCTCATTCAGGGGAGAAGAAACACGTGCTGCTACCCTTCAACCTCTGCACCCGAGAGATGTTGGCAAAGGAAACGTGCCCTGTTGAACTTCTGTAAAATTTTGGCAGTTTCCCATTGCCGATTTTTAGGAGTCGCGCCGCATATAACCCAAAAGCCATCGAAAGCAGCTCGGCATTCTTTGTGCAATGCGATGCTGGATTCACAGTGCCAAGGTGCGGTGATATCGTTTGGACCGTTAGCTGGGGGAAACTCGTGCTTTCCCAGTGACTCCATACGACCCTATGTCGAAATTCATTTTTACAAGGTAAGACTCCAGATAACGCCCCACCCCCCAGTTGTCCCCCAACTTGTGTATCCCGGCTCCCTGTTCATCTACCGATGTGTAAAGTATACCTATATGTTCGTCTTGTTCTGGCGAGTATTTTGGCATACTTTCCACACCTGTAAATTAGCAGGGAGCCGAGATAAATAGTTGGGGGGGGGATGTGGGGATATCTGGAGTTCAGCCTTTTACACAACCGATTTTACACATAGCAAAGCTGAAAAAACCGCTGAGTGCTTTATAGAACCGTACGCCAAGCCCATGAGACTTCCGCCGATCCGAAGCCAGCGTTGACCTGCGTGCCAAGCCTGCAGCTAGCCGCCGGTCTCATTCCCGCGGATGCTTCCCCGTTTCCAAAGGACTGGCATGACATCGGCGACACTGCAAAAGTCAAGGTACTGCGATTGGATTCCCCTGGTATAAATTTATAGTATTGCCCGATCGGCTCTTCGGCTGCCGACTGTGTTCCGCCACCGATCTGCGGGTAAATCAGGCCAGCGGATCTTGTATCTTCGTGCTTTTTTAGCGAGGGTAGCATTCCAGCCGAGCTGAAGGCGATCAGCGATGCGGTCTCGGTAGAGTGCGTCGATGCTTGTGTTTACAAGGAGAAAGGCTCGGCGGCCGACTACGCTGGATGCCAAGTGCTTGACGTTGTGGATCCTGAGAAGGAGGCGGACGTCAAGGTCTACGTCCTCAATCGGCAAATGGTCGGGTTTTACAAGGTTTTGAGAGTTCGACAGGCTCTCGGGAGAGAGTGTCTTTCAAAGCGATTGACACCACTGTTTCGAAGCACACTTCTCATTTGAATGTTGCAGTCTGGCCCCTATGCGGTGTTGATGTCAGCCGCGGAGAGCTTGAAGTATTCTGAGGAATCGAACACCACAACTGCAACCACCGAAACTACCGCAACTACTACAGTTGCCAGCAGCGTGTCTGTCCCAGCACAGCCGAGCCCAGCTGCCAACGTGTCTACCATTGAGGTATGATATTCTCGTTCTTCAGCGGAACCATTGCCATAATGCCGACAAAACGGTACTGGACTGCCAGCGGGGGGGCTTAGCCGCGCTTATGAGTTTTAATATAAAAATACTGTATAAAATGCGGTATATGTCGGCTACGCGGGGGGGGGGGGGGGGGGGGGAAATGGGACGGGACAGGCAGGCCTTTTTGGATGTTCTCGTTATTTTCTCGGAATTTTTTCAACGGCATTCGATAGAGCACCGAAAAATATACTAATGGTTTTGTTTTAGCTCAAATTAGTGTAATATAAAAAAGTTATGGCAAATACAAAAATAAGCTTTGAAAATCGGTTTGAGCGGCTGTTTTTTGACATTCGCGCTATTTTTTCGACATTTTAAAGATGCCATTCGATCGAGCATCCAAAAATATACTAAGAGTTTTAATTTTAGCTGAAAATAATCCTACTATATATAAAAAAATAGTGTCTGTGTGTGTGTGCCACTTTGCATCCACTTCCGTATCGTTGTTCCAGTCGTATCTCTATAGAGGAAGAAGTTAGGGGTGGGTACGATACGTCAATATGTGCGTAATGGTCTAGGGATGACTGCCCACATATCAGATTTCAAAAATCATCCATTTTCGATATTAAATTTAAGTTTTTGTAAAACCCTCTTCGTTAGGAAAAATTAGCATTGACCGGAAGTAGGCAGTCGCCGAAAGGGTCAGAATTCTTTCATTTTCATTTTTTTGTCATCTGAATTCAGCGCAATTATGCAAAGCGTAGAACAGCATGCGGTCCAAAACGGGGCCAGGGTTGAAAAGTCGCGAAGCGGCTTTTCAACCCTGGTGTAATATAAAATAGTTACCAGGGTTGAAAAGCCGCTTCGCGACTTTTCAACCCTGGCCCGTATAAGCCCATGAAATTCTGCCCTTTGCATAATTCGCCCGAATTTGTCATGAGAAATAATGAAAAACGCTCCCTCTCTCGGATTATATAGGCTATCGCCAATTCCGGTGCATGCTAATTTTTTTTCTACCAAAGAGGGCGTCCGTTTTTTAAACAAAAAAACCAATTTTAATGTTCAAAATAAGATAATTTGCAAAATATTATACGTGTGCAGTCATCTCGGAAACATTACGCACCTAATGACGTATCAAACTTATCTTAAAAACTTTCCCCTATCGAGTTACTACTGGAACACGCTGACGGAAGTTGCATGCAAATGCACACACACACACACAGAAACTATTTTTTTATATATAGTAGGATAACAAAAACAAGTATTAAACGTTGTTTCCATGGAGGACATAGTAGGAAATCAAGTTTTCGACATTTTCGACATTTTTACAAAATTTCTTTAGTGCCATTCGACAGAGCGTCGAAAAATATACTAAGAGTTTTGTTTGTAGCAAAAAGAAACGCAAAAAAATAGTTAGCTCGGCCCCAATAGTCCGTCCCCCCCGCGTAAAATTTTCCCCCCCCGCGTAGCCGACATAAACCTAAAATGCTATAAACGCGTTAAAATTTCATTATCGATCCGTACCAGGGTTGGTCATTTTGCGTCCCGTCCCCGTCCGTCCGCGTCCGGACGGGGACGCGGGACCGTCACCCTAATTTGCATAAAATTAGGGGACGGACGGGGACGCGTCCGGGAAGGGACGGACGGACAGACGGGGGACGGGGTGACGGTCAGCGTCACCCCGTCCCCGATGCAAATGCAATGCAAATGGTGGTTCTTTAGGATTTCCGGGGGAAAGTATTTCCGGGGAAACCAAATTTTTTCGGCCCAAGCCTAAATTTTTTTCTAAATAGCGCATGCGTTTCTAAATAGTTTTTAACTATTCCTGAGCATAAAGACTACACAGATTTTAATTAAAAAATTTAATTTTAGGTCAAAAAATCCTATAGAACCTTTAGGATTAGCGGGGGGGGGAAAGACCCAAAATGACCAATTTTCGACTTTTTCAAACATTTTTCCAACTTTTTTGACAGGTTTTTCTACTTTAAATATAGTTAAAATTTACTAAAAACAATGTGAAAACACTTTATATCTGATTACTAGGTCAACCGGGAAAATCAGGAAAAAATTCGGTTTCCCCGGAAATACTTTCCCCCCCCCGGAAATCCTAAAGAACCCAAATGGTTTTCCTACCAGTAATTATTTCGGCTCTCCTTCTCGTTGCTTTAGGGGAGTCAAAAATACATGCAACTCAGGTCAAGCTGGAAGTTATACCTAGATGGCGTCGGCGCTGCAGATAATCATCATTTTTTCGGAATTTGCTACAGAGCTTAAAAATTCGAGATATTCAAGTTAGAAAGCAATTGGTTACTTACTCTACGTGCTAGGTTATAAGCATTTCATCGTAATCATGCTATCCGCGTTTTTTACCCTGCTCTGCGAAATTCTAAACCCAGCCGATGCGTGATTTGAATGCCATTACTTTATCCCCGTAATTTGCATCGGGGACGGGGACGCTGCCCCGTCACCGTCCGTCCCCACTGTCCCCGTCCGTCCCTGAACAACCCTGATCCGTACGGATCGCAAGAAAAATTTATTTTTCCCTGACTAAATCCCCCCGTTAACAGCACAGTACCGACAAACTCTATTACAGCCCCAACCCCGTGCCCGCCGCCAAGACGATGCCTCCGCCGGCCTCACCGACTACAAATACCCAAGATGCGTCGAAGCCAAGGGTCTCATGGTATCGCTTTCGTCAAATAAACCTCAAGTATTTTCCAGGAGAAGCACGCCGCTTACGTGAAGGCCGATTATTTCCTGAACTGTGACACGAATCCGCTCGTCGCCCACTACCCGAAGGACACCAACCTTCGTATAACGCCACGACCATGCGGTGACGTTGACCCGAAAAAGGTATCCAATTTTGGGCTGTGTGACAACGTCTTCGACAAGTACACCGCTCGTCACCGGCGCTTGATTTTGACGCACTTTCAGGAACTGTGCGGAGGCCCGTCGCAATCTTCGTCTGAGTTGTCTTCCCAGGGATCGCAAGCCAGCTCCAAAGTCTGGACGATTTTTGCGTCCATTGGTCAGTATTTTGCGCTAACTAGTCATTGATTTTGGAGTATTGGGCTGTTAGCGGGGTGGGGTGTCAGTATGGCCAAAAAAATTGCTAAGATGTCTCGCTTCTTTAACTTTTTTAGCGAGCAAGAACTGCTAAAAAGGCTATAAAAATACAGGGTGTCCCAAAAAAAAACCCCCCCTCGGCATTTGGCCGTCTTCTATCGGATCGGGACCAAATATTTACCAGTGATGGGGACCCATAAAAACTATGTGCAGCCGAATTTTCGACGCAAAATATTGTAAGACAAAAAAGTTATATTGAAATTAAGGTTTATTTTGCCGATTTCACTAAGATTTTGATGGATTGGGGCTTCGAAATGTTTAGCAAAAATGAAGAGGGCACTTTTTTCCACCCGGAGGAATTTTTTGATTTAGGAAAATTACGTCAAAATCGAGACTTTTCATCAATTTTTATTAGCAAAACGAACAGAAACGGACCCGAAAATGACGATTTTTGGAAAAATTACTCAAAATCGGCATGCCAATTGCGAAAACATAGCGAAAAATCGGTACTAGCGTTTCCCAAAAATCAGTTTTTTAGCGATAACTTTTTTGTTTTATAGTATTTTGCTTAGAAAATTCGGCTGCACATAGTTTTTATCGGTCCCCAGCGCTGGTAAAAATTTGGTCCCGATGGGATAGAAGACGGCCAAATGCCGAGGGGGGGTTTTTTTTTGGGACACCCTGTACATTCCCTTTACTTCAAATTCAACAGACAGGTCAAGACGGGAAGGCAAAAATTATTTTTCCCTGTTAGCACCCCCCGATAACAGTCCAGCACCTCTTTTATCCTCGACAAGCACGTTTTATTCCCATTTTCAGGCGGCGTGCTGCTGTTGGTGCTCGGAATCGCCGCCCTCGTTTGGGTGGTGTACAGTAGGCGCCGCGGTGCCAGCAAGCAGGAGCGCGTCAAGCCGCTCAGCGAGAGCGCGTACGGCCCGGAAGTCGACTCTTCTCGCGTCGAAGGTAATCCATCTGGTCGTACAAACCGGACCACAAACGCCTCGAAAGCTTTTGCAAAATTGAACAGAGCACTCGGCTCACTCTAGAACTTTTTTTGGTACTTTTGCATTATCGGGGGGAGAAAATGTTTTTTTCTAAGGAACCAATTTTCTAAACGTAAAAACTTTGCAACTTATTAAAAAAATCCAAAAATTCGTTTTTGTCGAAAGTAATAGTCTCTACCTACTAACTAACTACTCTACTACTCTAATAAAATCCGTCAGTTCGTCTGGTCGATAAATACGAGAGCTGCTCCGCCCCTCTCCGGGGGAGGGGGCGCCGCGCTACGGTAACGTACACCTTTTAGCAAACCATCGAACGTTGCAGCATAATGCTGACAACTTTCGACAGTTTTTCGAAGAAATGTCCGTTTCTGATCAAAATTTCGACTTTTGCCAAAATTTTCTAACGTTGGGTTAAATTTAATTAAGTAGGTTTGGTTCACCAAAAACTGCTATTAAGTTTCGAGGCTTTTCTAGATCAATACAAAAAATTATCGAAAGTGCCCCCCCCGCCGATAATGAGAAAGTGACCATTTTTTTTTCATAAAAATATCATCAAAAAGCTGTTTAAGAAAGCGGAGCCCGGGTATGACAGTGCAACCCGGAGCCAAACACCTCAACTACATCTGTCTCACAAACGATGTGTCTGAATGGTGGGTCGCTGCGCCAAATTTTCTGTGATTATTATTGGCAGAAAACACGATGAAGTCGTTTCAGATCCACATCACTCGCCCGGGGATGCACAACATCATCTACCCGCTCGCCCACTGACCATCTCCATTGCCCTCTTCGAAACGATAGCCGAAACATCAAATCGACATATTCATCCTGTTTCCTACGCAAATTGTGTTTTTGTCGAGTAATAAAGGCTTTTCGTGGCAATGGTCTTGAGCAGGGTTGTTCACGCGTACGAGAGAGAAAGAGAGAGAGAGAGAGAGAGAGAGAGAGAGAGAGAGAGGGAGCGAGAGGGAGGCGTGGAAGTGATAGCTGGAAAGAGAGAGAGACAGAGAGTGAGAGAAAGAAAGAGAGAAGGCGAGTGAGAGAAAGCCAGAGAGCGAGAGAGAGAGAGAGAGCGAGAGAGAGAGAAAGAGAGAGAAAGAGAGATAAGATCTTAACATAATTTTTAGCATGCGAAATTTCAATTTACGGTTTGCCTATTTTGATTAACATCGCAAATCGACGATTAACATGGGTTTCACAGCGCATATAAAAGCCGGCCAACCGTGGCTAAATTGTCTTTCCACAATCGGCGATGCTGAGATTCGGCATCATCTTCCTGCTGCTCGTCGTCGCCTACTCGCCCGATGCCGCGTCAGTTTTTTGATTTTTAGCCATGGAGCGAAAACTTTTTCTCTGAAACGAGAATTTTGGATCTTTACAGGGCGCTTGCTGCTGGAAGTCGGGCCCGTCGCTTGGCAGCTGATGAGGAATGCGTTGAGCGGCCGTTCGTCTGCTACACGTACGAGTGGTTGGCTGCCAAGGGATTGCCGCACGATCGACCGGCTGCCTTTGAGAAGAAGGTAATGCAACGCTTCTTACTTCCCGTGTAACGGGGTAACCAAAATTTCCACGGTAATACAGTACGGCCTTGCAACGGAATATAAACCATTTTTATAGCATTTTATACATAGCTTACACACGTCGGTACTTGTGTATTCCCGGGGGATGAACGCGCCGGGGGAACCGAACTTTTCCGCCCTAGCCTCGACTTTTCATATAAATGGTGGAAGTGTTTCTAAATTGTTTATAGCTATTCGTAAACATAAAAACTACCAAATTTAATTAAAAAATTTAATTTTAGGTCGGAAATCAATTTTTTTGGCGCAAAAATGATCAAATTTTCGACTTTTTCAAGCGTTTCTCTAACTTTCTAAAAAGTTTTTCCTATTCAAATAGGCTTAAATTTTGCTAAAAACATTGTGAAAAACTTTATATTTGATTACTATCCCCACCAGGGCCGACAAAAAAAGGTTGATTCCCCCGGGATACACAAGAACCCACACGTCTCTAAATATCAAAATCTAATAAAAAATTATTAAATTTATTGAAACAAGCTAACTTTTGATTTTTTTTGAAAAAATGTGTGAAAATGACTATAAATGTCATTTTCATGCACTATTTTAATGATTTTGGTAAATTTCTGGCACGAAAACCAGGCGAAAAACAGTATTGACTTCATAACGACAGCCGTCGATGGAAAAAATAAAATTAGCCGCCACCTCCTGTTAAACTATTCTTTGCAGTGTACGCCATGCCCGCTCACGCCGTGCAACAACCCCGGAACTCTTGCGCCAAATGGGGTCGTCTGGCCCAGGGTGATTTGCGACCCGACCGCGCTCTTCTGTGTAAGATTTTTTTGGTTGGGCCCTGACTACTCTTTAGGAGGAATTTCCCACGGAGGGCGACGCCGTTAAGCCAAGCTGCACCAAGCCCGCCGCATATGAAGATAAGGTGGCTGGCGGAAGCGGAAGAGGTTGATATAGCCTACGGTTTCATGTGATGCTTTGGTTTAGGCGAGAAGAAATACGGGCTGCTGCCTTTCAACCTCTGCACCAGGGACATGTTGGCCAAGGGAACGTGTCCTGTTGAATTTCTGTAAGAATTGCTACCGTTTGCTACCTCAAATCTTCAGGAGTCGCGAACCGTATCGGCCCGACGCAGTCAAATTTTCATCAGCCTTCCTTGTCCAATGTGATGCCGGCTTTATGGTACCGAGGTACTGTGTTCTCGAGAACGAAAAATAGCATGTTTTTTCCGGTTGTTTTCCTTTGAGAATGGTACATTTGTTACCTGAGCGCCAATATAACCGCGTGTTACAGTACGGTACGCCAAGCCCACGAGACTTCCGCCGATCCGAAGCCCGCGTTGACCTGTGTGCCAAGCCTGCAGCTAGCCGCCGGCCTAATTCCCGCAGATGCTTCTCCATTTCTGAAGCAATGGCATGACATCAGTAACCCTGTCAAAATTACGGTAGCCTGCATGATGCTTGTCTTTTAGCAAATTTTAGTATTGTTCAATCGGCTCCTCGGCTGCCGCCAATTCACCCGATTGCGTCCCGCCTCCGATCTGCGGGTAAATCGGGATCGAAATGCTTGTATTTTCGTGTTTTTTCAGCGAGGGCAGCGTCCCAGACGAGTTGAAGACGATCGGCGATGCCGTGCCAGCGACGTGCGTCAACGCGTGCGTCTACAAGGAGAAGGGATCGTCGGCCGACTACGCTGAATGCCAAGTGCTCGACATTGTCGATCGCCAGGACGAGACGGACATCAAGGTCTACGTCCTCGATCGACAAATGGTGGTTTTTTTTATCTGCTAAACCTCAAAGGAATGTAAGCAGGCGGGAAAGCTGATTTTTCCCAGTAATCCTGCACGGCTATACCCAAATTATGGCAAATTTTTATAGAATTTTACACATTTTTTAGATATAAAGATCTCAAAACAAACGCAAAATTTGTTGAAAATGTTTTACTTTTTTCAAAGGGTATGAAATTTTACAAAAAGGTCAAAATACACATATTTTGAAAATATTTTAAAGATTTTTGTAAATTTCTAGCAATCAAAGGCCACGAAAAACAATGAAAATACACTGTTTATTAATAAAAAATAAAGCAGAAAAGAAGAAAATCCCCTCGCTAACGGTCCAGTACCTTAAATTTTGTAGTCTGGCCCGTACGCCTCGTTGATGTCGGCCGCCGAGAGCTTGAAATATGCTGGCAAAGAAGAGACGACTGTTGACGACACCAGCGAACCGCCCAGCACGGAGGTGAGGATTTGACTTTTTTTAAACATTTCCACTATAGCCCAATTCCCGCGCCCGCCGTGACGAAGAACCCGCCGCCAGCCAGGACTACAAGTACCCACGATGCGTCGAGACCAAGGATTTACAGGTATCTGAAAATTCAGGCAACACCTTCGAAAATTGTTTGCAAATTTCGGATTTTGCGCCAAAAACAGCATTTTTCAGGAGCCGCAACTTTCCTACGTGAAGGCGGACTATTTCCTGAACTGTGACACCAACCCGCTGGTCCTCCGCTACCCCGACGACATCAACCTTCGCGTCAATCCACGCTCGTGCACGGTCGTCGACGCGAAAATCGTAGGGATTTTTTTGCTTGACAATTATTCGGTTCTTTCGCATTATCGGGGGGGGGGGAGGCAAAAACTTTTCTTACATTCCAGTTTTTTGAAACCTAAATAGAGAAAGTTTTTTAAACTGTTTTTCACTATTCCTAGGAGTAAAAACTTTACTTATTTTAATTTAATAATACAACAAAAACAGCGTTTTGACCAAAAATTGACTTTTTACCAAAAATTTCGATGTTTTTAGCAACTTCGCAAAATTTTTTAGATTGTTTTTCTGGTTAATAAATAATTTGATTTTGCTAATACTAAAAATATTGTGGAAATGCTTTGTTTCGAGTTACTAGGCATCAACTATAATGAAAAAGTTGTGGTGTCTGTCCGTCCGTGTGTCTGAAGCCGAATTCAACTCGAAGCGGAAGGAGCTAGAGCTTAGGTCTCTTCTGATTCGGATAGAGCGTGGTCAGAAACCCCCAAACTGCTAAAAAAATTATAAAAAACTTTTTGTTTAAATTATTAAAATTAACTTTGAAAGTGACGCCTTAATAAAACGAGTGGGGGCCCCTTTCCCGGCTGGCTACGCCCACTTTCGCCGGCCCCCTTTCTCCAGGCCCCTTCCCGCGCCCAGATCGTTTTTTTTAAGTTACTTTAATACTTTTTAATACTTTTTAGTTATTTTAATTCATTATTTAAATCATTTAAAGTATCTAAAGCTATCGGGATGCTAACGAAGTAGTTTTTGAAGGGGATTTCGGCTATGGGGGGTATCTGAAGCCATCAGGAAGGTGTTTAGTTTGCCGGGGGTTGGCTAGAGAACGTTATGAAGCGATCAGCGCGGGTATTGATGAAGGTAGAGATGTAATGTGGTGGTGTAGAACATGGAGTGTAGCCCGAAGGCCAGCCGATTGCAGTCGCGAAGCGGCTGTAATCGGCTGGTTTCTAAATAAATATAGAAAAAATTGACCCCCGCGATAATGCGATAGAACCATTCACTGTAGACCAGTGTCGTTAGGCTTGACCAGATCTGATTTCCTTCAGAGTTGGTGTACTTTCAGGAGTTGTGCACGATTGAACCTACAACACCTCCGCCGACGGTGCCTGAAGGAGATGAAGGCCCAGACTACGTGATCATAGCTTCAGTCGCTGGTAGGGGTCGCGCCAATAACCTTTTTTTTGTTAAGCCGACTCTACTTCGCCGACTTTTCCTTTTCAGGCGGTGTCGGATTCGTGGGGATCGTTGCTGCGGTCCTCATCTGGTACTTCGGCTGCAAACGGCGAGGTGGTGGGAAGAAGCCAGTCAGCCCGGAGGACCCTGCTCCAACGCCTTCCCCGGATGGCGTTTCTGCTGACGCTACGAGCACGAATGCCGCCTCGGAGAAGGACGGCAGCGTCGCCGAGGCGGCCTCGCCAGCTTCGACCGCGTAGGGTTTAACAAAAACGCTAACGGGCTTGTTTTTGTGGGGCAAACCGAATGTTTTTAATAAATAGCGGCTGCGTTTGTACCTTTCTTTCTTCTTTTTCGTGAGTCCAGAAACTTTACGAGTTCTTGGTAACAATGTAATTTTAGTTTTTTGTATTATCGGGGGCGGGCTACCAACTTTTTTCTTAATGTTAGTATCAAATTTTCCAATATTAACGGCGGAAGTGTTTTTTCAAAGGTTTTTGATTATTCCTAAACTTGAAAACCTTACAAATTGTTATTAAAAATATCAAAAATTCATTTTCGAGCGAAATGTCGATTTTTCCCTAAATTGGCGATTTTTTGGAAAGTTTTAGATAGTTTTTTACCTGAAAAATAGTTCAACGTTACTAAAACCATGCTTAAAACACTCTCTATTAAATTTCCAGGCATTTTAGACATGCAAAAAATTTGCGAGTCAGGCACTCAAATTATTCAAAGGACTTAAGCACTTTTAGCGACGCCACTCCGAAGGAGCAAAATGCTGGCCCGGGTGCCGGCGGGGCCCAGCAGGCAGGCGCGAGGCAGGCAGGCGCGAGGCAGGCAGGCGCGGCCGCTTCAGGTAGTTCTCACTCTGTCTAACAAGATTTAATTTACCTTCAGCTCCGGAACTTTGGGCTCCTCAGCCCCAACAAAAGGAGGCGGCCAGGAGCTGGGCCAGGGCAACCTTGGAAAAGGGGCCGGAGGCGATTCGCGAAGAATTGCGACCTTTGCAGGCAAAAGTTTGTTTTGCCCTTTTTAAGCCTGGGAGCTTTTGTCTTGGGAGCTTTCGCAGTATGAAGGGGGCGGGGGATGTTTGCAAAGGTCACTTTTTTAATATGAATGAAAGAAGTGCTTCTAAACCGTTTTTTCCCTATTTCACATCGTGAAAACCTTTCACTTCTTCATTAAAAAATGGAAAGAGCTGGTTTTTCGACCAATATTTCAACAAAATTTTTCGAAATTTTTACTTGTTTTCTGATTGAAGTTTATCGTGAAAATTTGCAAAAACTGTCGAAAAACGGTGCTGGTTCATTAGCGGAGGGGGGGGGGGGTTAGGCAGGTTGGACCACTTTTTGTTGGGAAACAGGTTGATGATATCCTTTATTTTTATGGTGTTTTTGGTCGTTTTGATTGCTAGAAAGTTACTAAAAATATTTTTATAAATTTTAAAAATCCGAAAATTTAGATCCTTTTTGATGATTCTTCATACATTTTTGACCATTTCTTTTTCTTTTTACGACCATCTTTTGACCACCAAAATTCAAACATTTTAGAAAATTTTTATGAATTTTTTATTGTTTTTTTTATGTCCACAAATTATCATTGTAAAATCATATGAAAACTTGTTAAGGGATAGCGCCGGGAAAATTGTTTATGACCAATGGGTAACCACCAAAATTTCGATCTCTGATTTCTCAGGACATCTCTCCTCTACCTCACGCCTCGTATGACCTAAACCCGGGGAAGAACCGCTACAAGGACATCATATGCATCGAGGAGACAAGGGTCCGCCTGCAGGGCCGCGCGAACGACTACATCCATGCTAACTGGGTCTCAACCGAGCTGCGGCGTTTCATTTGCGCCCAGGGGCCCATGGACAAGGATGACGGGAAAGATGACACCCAGGAAGATTTCTGGATGTGGGTCCTTTCGTGGCCATGGTTCTGGACTGTTAACGGGGGGAATACTTCCATTTGAAACATACTAAACAACCACCCAGAGACTCTTCGACTACTTCTATTTGAAAAATGCGACCCCCCAGACTCAAATAATTGTTGGTTTCCGTTTAATGCGATAGAGCCGAATTGGCTTCGCATTTTTCGATTCAATTTTTACGCGGGAAAAACCATTTTTTTTAGATGAAAAAGTCTATTTTAATTCGCCTTTTCGGCCCTCCACCCTGATTGTGAATATGTGATTGTTTAGGATGGTCATCGGACAGCGCGTGGGGGCGATTTGGCAGCTGTGCGGCTTCGTGGAAACGGGAAAGCACAAGTGCGCCAAGTACTGGACCGATGGCAAGCGGATCGGCAACTACACGATCAAAATAGTGGAAGAGTATGACGTAAGTCGGTGTTCCTGTTGCCGGTGCTTAGGCAACGTCGGGGGGTGGGGAAGAATAACGGGAAAATAAAATACCTAGTTATTAAAAAACGAAGCAAACGCCAACTCGGTTTTTCAGCTGCAATGGCAGTGGTGCAACTCGAAGGCCGTGGTTCGCGTCTCGCGCATCCATATCATGAGGGGTACCAAGCTGGTGCACGAGGTGACGCACTACTACTGGATAGACTGGGAGGATCGCGGTGTGCCATGCCCCGATCTGGGAATCGTCGAGCTGATGGAGATCATCCTAGCTGCAACGTAGGGCGGGTCTCTTTGCAAACTGGAGCTCTGGTGCAGTTGGTCCGCGACTGTTCGCGGGGGCGGGGGGAATTTGATGAAGGGGAAACCACTTATGTTTTACCGCCTATTCCGGTCTGTTGATACATTCTTATTTTGATGTTTCATTTTCATTTTTAGTAGTTTTTGATTGCTAGATAGTTATAAAAACTATTTTTTTTTTATTTGGAAAGTCGAAAATCTGGATCTTTTTCGGTCATTTTTCATACATTTTTAACCAAAAAGTCAAAAATATTCGAAATTTTATTATTTTAATATTTTTTTGTATCTAAAAACTATGTCAAATGCTATCAAAATGGTTTATGTTTTCGGGTTGGGCGGTAGTGACGCTAAATCTCTGCCCCCGCTCCCCCCACCCCCGCTGACAGTCCAGAACCAGTTCCGGTCTAGGTCCCCCTGGACTGATTTGAAAGATCCACCTTACTCTTCCTCAACGACCAACCCAAAATTTTCTAGCAAGGGGCCGATCGTCATCCATTGTTCGGCTGGGGTTGGGCGCACCGGGGTGGTCGTCCTTGTCCAGTACATCATCGATGCCCTCAAACTGGGAAAGGTCGGTCACCTCGTAAGCTAGTGCATGTTTACCTAAATTATCCACCGATTTGGTATCGATCAAAAGCCGTCGCCAAATCCAGCCTGATTTTTCGATTTGCCAAATTCCGGACTTTTTGCTCAGTTTTCGGCATTTTTCATAAATTGAACATGAATGAACTCTATTGAATCGGCTTACGCAATAGCCAAACTACGTTGTTTAGTGGTTGAAAAGGTTTTCTCGGCGTGCCAGGATTTGCAACAAAACCTACATTTTAATTTTTGTAGTAAAATCCTTTCTTCGGAAAAGCATCAGCAAGTTGGTGAAAATTTAATGGAGAAAGGGGGGGGGATTGTTTTGGTTTTAATTGTACATCTTTAGTGGATCGACAACGTGCTCGAGCTGGTCAAGGAGTTGCGCCGGCAGCGGGCCAGATTCGTGCAGACGCCCGAGCAGTACCTCTTCGTGCACGTCGTCCTTCTCCTGCTCTATCGCCGGGTACTTCCTATCGAATTAAACTTTTATCCGCCCAGGCCTGGATTTTTAATGTTAGACAATGCTGTTGTACACTGTTTTTCCTTGTTCTGTAATTGTAAACGTACAAGGCAAGCTAGCAGAGGCCTTTGAGGAGCTAGCAGCTTGGAATTCTACGGGGTGTCCCGAACCTTCTTCCCCTACCTCGGAAAGGCAGATCCAACACGTCTTCCTGATTTGCAAACTTCCGGAAATTTTTGCTCGATTTTCGGCATTTTCATGCAAAAGAGACGCGTTCTTTGGCAAACACTGAATTTAACCTGTTTAAACGCCATCCAGGAGGGCCTTCTGCGGAACCAATTTTTTAAACATCAATAGCGGATGGGTTTAAGTAGGTTTTTACTCTTCCTAAACGTAAAAACCTTACAAATGTTTAGTAAAAATACCGAAAATATCGGTTTTTCCAGCAGAAATGGCCGTTTTTGACCAAATGTCGATGTTTGGAAGATGGATCAAAGTCTTTAGAAATTTTCTCTAGTTAAAAGATAGTTTTATTTTACTGAAAACATGATGAAAATACTTGCTACTAAGTTACTCTGCATTGACAGATCAACACAAAAAAAATTGTCCCTTCCTGCGGCTAAATCCCGGAGGAACGCTTTTTGGGACACCTTGTACTCTTCAATTTCAGATGGGATTGCTGGACGAGACGTTCGATGATCAGATCCGTGAATTTATTGCCGCCTGCCAGCTGCTGCCGGAGCTGAAACCCGTCAAGAAAAACTGACTGGCCGCGTGATGAAGACTGACCACTCACACAATAAAACACAAAATCCCGTTTCGCTATTGCTATGTACTCGAACTCGCTACTCCCCCCAAGTTTCGTGCACGTGCACATGAGTTTTTTGGCAATCCGACCCCCTCCACACGCCGATTGATTGTCGATTTCGCCCTCATTTTTGCCGCCGAATAAATATATACGGGAAGATGAGGTTGTGGTTTATTGCATACAGAGAAACGCAGCCTAATGCCAAAAATTCCTATTGAAACAGAAAAGTTTCTAAATTTCTGAAAAAACGCGAACGTGAGAAACGGCATTGCTAAAAGCGCATGTTCGGACGGCCAAAAACGCTTTCTAATTTTTGAAGATTAAAGTCGTAAATTAAAGTCGTAAAACTTAATTGGAAAACAAAAACCCTAAATAATATCTTTCCGAAAGCGTGACTTAAAAGATTTCGAATCACCGTATCTTTCTCGAGCCGATCACTCTTGATTTTTGCTTAGTGTTGTTTTCTGCCTACTATCAGTGCAATTTTGTGTAAATCTCGATTTTTAACATCCATTTATTCGCACGAAAGAGAGTAGGTCTACGTTACAACAAAAAAAAGGGAAAATAAGAAGAAGAGAAATTGAGAGAACCCAACTTGCATCGGTGTGTTTGTAAGAGTACCGTAATCGGGGGGAGGGGATTATAGGGCTACCAAAAATGACAAACCGATCAACGAAAGATGTAGGTGGATGGGGTGGGCTTAGGCTTGGGCCTAGGCTTAGGCTTGGGCTTGGGCTTAAGCTTAGGCTTAGGCTTAGGCTTAGGCTTAGGCTTAGGCTTAGGCTTAGGCTTAGGCTTAGGCTTAGGCTTAGGCTTAGGCTTAGGCTTAGGCTTAGCGTTAGGCTTAGGCTTAGCCTTAGGTTAGGCTTAGGCTTAGCCTTAGGCTTAACCTGGGCTCCACAAAATTCCAAAAATTACAGTAACCTCAAAAATATCAAAAAAAATCAGATTTCCGCAGTGGGAGGGGCATGATATGCTAGGGAAGGAGAGACTTCTGTAGCAAGTTTTCGAAGGTCTACGGTATCTCCGGGTACGGTAGTCAACAAAAATCGATTTTTTTTGTAAGGCACCGTACCCCGGAGAATTACCGTAACCCGGTGCAAGGCTCATTTTTGGGGGTCAAGAACTGGCAGGGCAAAAATATTGAGGGTGGCTAATTATTTTTTTGAAGCTTTTTATTCTGGAAAAGAGCGAAAGGACTTTTGGGCGTTTGGCGATGTCGCGATTTGAAGGCATTAGAGGGAATACTGGGGGTATGGTAAATGGGATTGAAAGAAAATGTTAAATGTCGAAGATTTTAAAGGGATTCGTAAGGCTGACGGGGATTGGATGGCGGTTAGGGAGGGCGACTTGGACATAGAGTTTTTGACGTCTTTAAGCAAAAAATGGGTTTTTGGATGGTAGCTCGGTGACTAAGACTACCAGGCGAACGACCCGGGTTCGATCCCAGGTGCCGATATTTTTTGCTTTTTGCCAAAAACTCATCTCCAAGTCGCCCACCCCCAAAATCGGTGTCTATTAGGGTCACAATTTAGGGTCAGGAGCTAAAAAGAGGTTTCTGGGCCCCGAAGCCCTGGTCCCTGCTCCCCGTACCAATACGGGTGGGGCCTGGGCCAGCTTGCTGCAGGGAAGCGGTCGACCGTTGAGGAGATGAGGGCCGGGCGGGCCGCGGGGCGAGGGCTACGGTAGGTAAGGTGTGGGCACGTTTTAGAGTCAGTTAATGCGGGGCTTGGCATGGTAGCGTAACGCAACGTTAAAATTGGGCCTAGACTCTTCAAAAACCGAATTTGAGCTACAAAAATCAGGCTCGTGCTCAAAAATTAATTTTTCTAACGTTCCGCACTACCATCCCATACCTTAAAAATCATAGAACAATCCCACAAAAATCATAGCGCTTTTCGCAGAGCGCAAAAACACGAAAGAGCGATCTGGCGGGCGGGGGGCAGCACGCTGAATTTAGTAGCGCAATCGGAGGGATCAGCAGAATTGGAGGAATTCTCAAAAAGGGCAGTTCTCAAATTTCGGTCTTTTTAAGGAGGAGATTAGGGTCCCGGCCCGGGGAAAGCTTCAGAACTTGGCTTGTTAGACGGAGGAAAGGCTAGGACGGCAGGGTTTTCAAGAAAAGCGCGGTATTGGGAGGTGGGTAGTGTACTCGGAAGTGAGAGATGCCGGGCGGAAGTTGCGGAAAAATTCGGAAAAATTTAGCATTTTCAGTTATCATAGCTGAAGTTTAATGGAATTTTCAAATTTAAGCATGAAAAGGCATCAAAATTCAGTTTATTAGGTTGTTAAGGTATTATTCTGCAAAATCGATCAAATTTTTCCGTTTTAAGAATTAGAAGTTATCGTAATCATGCGTACTAAACCGCATTGAAGTACTATTCCTCGAAATGAATAGATGTTTCCATTTTAGACCTTAAAAGTCATCAGATTTGGGTTTCCTAGGTTGGCTCAAAACTATTATACTTCAATCTTAAACTGTTTTTAGATTCCAAGCATTAAAAGGTATCGAATTTGGCTTAGCAATCCTCTTTTCTGTTCATTTTCCTTTTTTGTTCCGCAACTTTCCTCCCGACACGCCCAACAGGGTCAGGGTCGTAATTTCAGGGTAGCAGTGATGGTTCGGCGCCGAAAGATAAAAGGTATCACAATTTATCGAGAGCTAACAGCTGAGTGATGAGGGGCTAGATTGATGGTACTTATAAAACGCAGGAGATACGGTAGGGTGGGGCTGATTTTAGGGTCCAATTCGATAGGGTAGAAGGAGGGGAACTTGAGCAACATGCGGCGGTGGTAACAACACAAGTTGGCTCAAATTTCTGGGGTTTTCAGGAGGGTGTAAGGGAAGTGTATAACGTAGTCTAGAGCCTAGGAAAAAATATAGTAGTAAGTGAGGGTGGCTGAAGTCTCGCGGCGCAGAGAAAATATAACAAAAAATGTAAATTTGCTGACAAGTGTCCCTAGGGTCGTACCGTAATCCGAGTTGAGAGTGTTTGGGGCGGGCAGAAAAAAATGGGGAAATTTGTAAAATTTGAAAACGTCTAAAGGCCATTTTTGACAAGGATCCGAGTGTGCGGCTGCGGGGAGAAAGAACTGGATGAGTGGGCAAAAAAAACACAAAAAATGGAAATACACAGCGTAAAGAGGAACATTACGTAGGTGAAAATGCCAATTAGGGTAGAGGAGTAGTACCAAAAAAGGATTAGGCGAAATACATGACGTTGTTGGCGTCGGGGTGGACCTGGACGGCGCGCGCCATGTTCGACAGGGTCGTGTCCTCGGAGGTGCCGGACGGCTGCGAGCCTTCGCCACTGAAAAAGGCGCATTCGAGGCGTTCAAATTTTTAAAAGACCGTTGAAGGCGAAACCAGAAATTTCTTTACCAACCTGTCGTGCTCACGATCCACGAGGTGATAACGGGCACGGAAGGCCACCAGATGAGCGTAGTAGGCCGGGGCGGGGATCGACACCGAGCGGGTACACCTGACGTAGGTGTGGCACATCTGGTAGGTGAGCTGCTGCAGCTCGTCGGCCGTCATGTTGTTGTCGTCCCAGAGGACGTGGTAGTGCGAGGGGCGGGAGGTGCCCTGGAAAAAGGAACTTTAGCTTTGATCTCGCTTTCTTACGATCTCTCTATCTCTCCCTCTTCCCCTCTCTCTCTCTCTCTCTCTCTGTCTCTCTCTCTCTTACCTGAATACCAGCATGGGAGCACAGATAGAAGTCGAACTCGGTCGGGTGGGTGATGCCAACATCAACGGTGGTGCCGGGTGGGATGTTGAACGCCTTGCCGACCTGGAAAATTTAGTAGATAATGTTAAGCTGTTGACGCTCTTCCACGTATCTTAAAAACTGCCTACTTACCTGATCCTTCTTCTCCGTCGCGAACAGCCTGGTGTGGTGGCGCTTCTGCACGGCGATAAACGTAATTCCAGGCTGGTACCCGCGCTCCAACATCATACACGCCTCACGCATCGCCCTCAGCTCGTACTGCAACACGTTGAAGAACTGGCCCTCCGAGACACCATCACGATAGACAATGATCCTGGTTGGCTTGAACCTCGTGTTCCGGTAGAACTGCACGAGCAGCTCGCGCACCATGTACGTCAGGTCGGAGATGATCTCCTGGCGGTGCTGCTGGACGCGTACGGTCGCCGCGTATCGACTGGGGTGAGCGTCCATGCTACCGACAACCGCAGCGATTGAGGGCTTTCTAGAATCTCCAGCTGGAGGATGAGTGATGTCACATCCCAGGAAAATGACCGGCTCATTGAAGATTCTGGGCCTCACAGTGGGGAGCAAGATCGAGTTGACTCCCCCCAACTTGACGTTCATCTTCAGGCACAAGTTTGACAGGGTCTGTGGCGTCGTCTTGATGACGTTCTTCGCCTGCACGCATTGGGTGGCAATTCCGAGAACCGTATCTCCGACCCTCTTGACCTCGGCGTAAACCGGGGTCTTGCCGGGGAGCACGACGCAGACAAGTTGGATCCCATTGAACGTCTGCTTCAGGTACTTGAACATCGGCTCCACCTGATCAACACCGACAGCGTACTTGCAGAAGCACGGCTGGCCGATGATCGGCATCCCGGCGTCGTTGGAGATGCGCTGGAGTTGCTGCGTAAAGTTGCGCAGGTCGTTCTCCTTGACGTGCTGCTGCTGGGCGAAGCAGGCGATGGCCCACACCTTGACGTCGATGCCGGTGTGGAACTGCTTTCCGCGCATGTCCCATACTCCCTGGTTGGGGAGGGCGGTTGCCTTGGTGCGGCCGCCGTAGAGGAGCTTCGGGGCGGACAGGACGCGGCCCTTCACTTCGGTCATCTGCGAGTTGATGGCGATTCCGAACTCGCGGGCGTAAGCGTCGCCGGCAAAGTCGGCTTTGCGGACGAGGCTGCTGATCTCGCGCTCACGCTCCGGGGCGGATCTGGAAAGGGTTATTTATTAAACGGGGAAGTCATA